AAAAAAAAGAGATTGGGGGGGGGGGGGTGAAGATCTATTTTCTCCTCCCTGAGCTCCCTCTTGTTTTAGAGAATTTGTTCATATGGGAAGAGTACAAATGTAACTTTTGGAATACGTAATTTGCTTTACAAAATATCTCCTAACATTGGCCTTGACAAGTGACAAGAGTTTAGCCACGTCCGTTGACCTTTATTCACATTATCAATCATTCATCACCCTTGTCTATTTGGATTTTTGTGAGCATTTTGCAAGTGACGAACGGTGTGAGCTTTGGTGATAGGTCAGAATCTTGTTCCCTGCCTGGAGGCTCTTTTCCGGTCTTAGAGAAGCGAGGTAAAGCAGAATGACAAGGGACAACAAAGGTAAAAAGGCTTGGCTTGCCTGAACCGAGCATAGTGATGAGCTTTCCGGGATTCTCCTTAGATGCCTCCCATCCCGCATATACATACTTGTATCTGTTTGATTCTGCTGTCAAAGCTTGGGGCTTTTCGGCTATTACGTTGATGCCTTCACGGCTGTCCAGTATGTTGATACATCTCTCGTTGGTTGCCCACAAAGGCTGACGATGTCAATGAGCAGATGATCAATCATTTGAGGGGTTCTGCTTCTGTTAGTGGTCCCAATCAGAAGTAAGAAGTAACCACAAGAGTGAAGATTCACGAGTCCTTCAGCAGTTTCATCGCCATTGTCCTTCTCTACATCTCAGCAAACTCCTCTGCCATTCCTCCAGTTTCCTCTCTATCTCGGATTTCAACTGCTGGATCCTCCCCTCATTCACTTTCACATCTCTCTCTTCTGACTTTTGTCATCTTCAAAAGGAACGCTGCATCCAGCCAAAGAGACAACATGAATCTCAGACAAAAACCCAGAAGATCAAACATTACTTGTATCTTTCCTTCAAACCCCATCGTCCCAGCTTGATCTATATTTTCAGAACCAGCCATGTCCAACTGTAGGAACATCGAGAGTATAATCTGCACGAAGAGAGTTCCTTATTTCAAGTTCCACACAGGAAAAAAAAGAGGAGCATAATAATTTGGGCTAAATATGGATCAGAAATTGGGCCTTCTTGTCTACATTAAAGGCCCAAGGCCTTTTATTTAATCAAAGGGTAAATTCGGTATATGACAAAACAACTAGGGTTTCTGAAAACCACACTACAAATATCGTTTCTTCGTACATGAAGCTGTTCCGCATTCGACGAACTTCACCCCGAGCAACGAGGCTGAATACGATCCGCGAAAATGGTAGCCCCTCATTCTTCTTCGAAATCGTTTCGTCGTCTGTGTAAAGTTCTAGTCTTTGTCAGGGTTCTGTTTGGTTAGCAAAGGATTCGAAGAGGGAAATGATTTAGCTATATTGGATTGGATCTTATGAACCTCCAATTTTGTTAACGAGTGATCAGCAGAAGGATTCAGTTTTAGGGATTTGTTTTTCCGATTTATGAGTTCTGGGTTCTTAGAAACCGGGTTTGATTTTAAGGAAAGAGGATGAGCGTCAATGGTTATGTTACAAGTATGTGTATCACTTCCTGTCTCTGTCTGAATTCAGAGAAACAGACAGAAAGTAAGATGCTTTCCCAAGATTTGAGGATGTTACTTTGACTCACTGCTCTGTATTTCGTTTTTTAAATGTTCTGTTTATGATCAATGCCTTTGGGTAGGTTAAAGAATACATGTTTTGTGTTATAGGTGAACGTTCCCAAGACAAAGAAGACATACTGCAAGAACAAGGAATGCAAAAAGCATACCTTACACAAGGTGACTCAGTACAAGAAGGGAAAAGACAGTCTTGCTGCTCAGGGGAAGCGTCGTTATGATCGTAAGCAATCTGGTTATGGTGGTCAGACCAAGCCCGTCTTCCACAAGAAGGTAAAATACGACGAAGAAGATTGTTTGCAATCATCTACAGTCCAGATTTCATTGATCTGTTGTCACGAAACCCATTTCGATATTTTTCTCAATTCATATGCTTTCCTAATGGGAATTGATATGTATATAATCATCGGCATAACTCTGAACAGGCCAAGACGACGAAGAAGATTGTTCTTAGGCTTCAATGTCAGAGCTGCAAGCATGTCTCCCAGCATCCAATCAAGGTAAAATTATCTTTGAACATTATGGATAGCCATTATTGGATTTCTAGCTCTCAGCCTGCTTGCTTATTATTGTTTTGATTCTTCAGAGATGCAAGCACTTTGAGATCGGTGGAGACAAGAAGGGCAAGGGAACATCTCTCTTCTAAGCAATTTTATCTTCAAAAAGTTTCATCTTTTGCACTTTTCAGAACTCGAACCAATCTGTTTAAGCTCTCTTGAGATTAATTTGTTGGTCTTAATCTTACATGTTGGAGCTATCCCGAGATGGGTTTGTTATTGAATAGATGTATTTTTGTTGACATGCTGATGATGTTACCATGCCGATGATGTTACCATGCCTGAATTATCATCACTTATTACAATTAAAATGGATATAAAAAAAGGTGATCTTTTTGAAGGGCTCTGTACAATTGAAGTTACGGAATCTGTATTGTCGGGAAGAATGCACACTTTATTCAATTTATTTGTTGATTCAACACAATTTGTACAAACTCAAACCATGTATATCACTTGGAACGTCCATTGCATGGTTTGTTCACGCGATGACAAAAACCCTAAGCTCGCCTCTGTCTCCCCTTGTTATGCGCATGCTGTCGTCAAGATAAGTCACCTCAAAGTCTCCGGTCCCGGGGTTTGAAGGCGGCCTGAACGTATCTGGAAGCCTCGGTATGTCGAACGGTGGAAGCTGCGATAAATTTCCCGAGGTCTTCAGAGTTGTTTTCTGGAATATAATCTTGATCTTCGCAGTACCTAAGCAGAAACAAACGTTAAATCACTAACGAATCTCGGCAGTTGAAAGCTGTGTTATCTTCAAGAATCGGAATAGGGACTTGAACCTATGAGTTCGAATTTGTGAGCCAAAGTTGCGGTGACTTCGACGGGTGGGAAAGGCCATGGAGCACCGATTTCAACCTCGGCTATGTTGTCGAAATCTTTGCTCAAAACATCAATCCTTTGAAACACCTGGTTATGGTCTCACAGTTAGTAAAACCCCGTCAAAACATCTTCAATCTCCATTGCAAAAACTCATGGTCTTTAATCTTGCATCTGGGTTCAGATTCTCACAACTAGACCATATTGTTCGATCCAAGAACAATCGGTAAGAAACCCTCAATTCTTCTGGCTAAACAGATGGTAGGATTCAAGAATCGATAACATACCTGGCCAAGAGTAACAGGGATCAAGCGTCCGGTGGGAAGACCAGGACGGCTTCCACCTAACGAACGGGACGAAAACGCGCTACTATACAGAAGCTTCCATTTTCCTTGGAGCCTGTCCAGATCAGTCGAGAGATCCACTGATCCACCCGCAGATTCCAGTTCCTTCGCAGCGGTTTCAGCTCTTTCTAGATCATCAACATTCGCCACAAGACCTCTGTTTAATCCCGAAACAGCACTCTGTATTTTCATCAGACAACATTTGTGTCAGTCGAACATATACTGTTATGTCTGTAACCTAGATTTTTCAGACAGCATAAGCAAGAGAAAGACACCTCTGTTTTCTTGCGGTTCGAGAAAGAAATGCACAGTTCAGCAAAAGGGGTTTGGGGGTTTCAAGTTCTAACTAGAAATGAGGAACCCAACTCGTCTATCTCAGTTCCCAGACCTAATCCACACACCATCAAGGCCTAATCCAAAATTTTCCAAATTCACTCGCACGTACCAGCAAATTGAGTTTCAACGATTCAATTCGTTGGCTCTTCTCTTCTCCGGATTTAGCCTCGCTGAAGGACACCTCACCGACCGCCGACCTCACGACAAGGTTCCACCTCTCTGGCAAAGTGGAAGTCAAGCGACGGCGTCTTCGGACAGGGAGAAGCGCGGTCGGCGAGGAAGAAGGAGGAAAAGAGGATCTGATGGAACAACACGGCGTCGGAGAGCGGTCGGAGAGAATCCCAGTCGGGGCATGTAACAGAGACGAAACTGAAGAGGAAACCGCCATGGGAAAAGCTTAAATCTCGGATTTATTTCTCCCCTCTGATTTCTATGGAAGAGGAAGAAGAAGAAGCAGCAGCTTGTAGAAAGAATCTTCCTTTTATGTGATCGAGAACAAACCCGGACGGGGGGAGTCCGTATATTGACCGAACGACGTAGTTTGGTCTAGTAATATTAAAAGTTATATAATTTAGCAAAATATATTATTTTCAAGATGCGTAAAGCGGCAAAATTGCAAAAATAACCCAACTTGTCGATTTGGACTTCACGGCATGACCCTCTAGGTTTAGGGTTTTAAAAAAAAAATCTAAAATGATAAAAAGACTAATTTGCCCTTAAAATATTGAATACGTGGCAACTCAATGGAAAGCAGGAAACGACAACAACTCTCTGTGTTTCCAAATTTTCAAACAAACAAACACGAACGGACGAACGTCTTCTCCTCTCATCCGGTTTCTTTCTTCAATCGCGCAAATCTCTCGGGTTCTTCTTACAAAATCGTCTTCTGTCGGCACAAATGGCTTCATCTTTGGCTTCTCCTTCGGTTACTGCTTCGGTTTCTACTTCAGAAGATCTACAGGTATGGTACACTCACCGAAAAAATTGATTGCGTCGTTCGTCCTCTCTTTGTCTTTGTGTTTATGTGTTTGTTTCGGGTTTAAACTCCAATAGAGTAATGTTCGAGTCGTTTGGGTTAGAAAAATTAGGGTTTTAGGTGAAAAATAGAGATTTTCAGAAAGATAGTTAATGAAAGTCGAATTTTTTGGTCAGACGGTTATATTACTCGAATTAGTCAGACCCATGAAATGGGTAGACCAATGAAATGGTCAGACCAGTGAAATGGTCAGACCCGTGCAGTGGAGAAACCAGTGAAGTGGTCAGACCCTTGAAATGGTCAGACCCGTGAAGTGGACAGACCAGTGAAGTGGTCAGACCCGTGAAATGGTCAGACCCGTAAAGTGGGCAGACCAGTGAAGTCTGGTTAGACCCGTGAAATGGTCAGACTCGTGAAGTGGGTAGACCAGTGAAGTGGTCAGACCCGTGATGTGGTCAGACGAGCGAAATGGTCAGACCGGTTAAATGTCAGACCCGTGAAGTGGTCATACTTCACTGGTATGACCAGATTTATTGTAATCATAGTCTGTTTCGTAATTGTAATATAATAAAACTGATCATGAGAGTTAATCTAATTGTTGCAGGTCCCTTTTGTGTACGCTTTCAAGGATATTCAACACCGTGCATTAAGGTTGGAAGGAGAGGAAAAAGAGTTTTGGTTTGTTGTAAATGGCGTGCCCATCAGATACTCGATCCAGGAACATGCCATTATCTCCGACTTAAATTTTAACAACTATTCGGAGGACTGGACTAAATGTAAGGGAAGTGAATTTCGGAAAAGAATATTCGTAACTTCAAAAGTTACCATAGAAGCTGCATTAAAGAAGTTGCGCGAAACTCCACATGCAAATGTGGAAGAAAGAAATAGATTAGCAATAATTGTATTGTTTTAAACAGTGATTTGGTGGACATGGTCGAAAGTCTGGACTTCTATGAAGGGTTTCCCTGGAGAAGATACATCTTCGTTAAGATTAGCGATCAGATTCGGAAATTGTATAATGAATTGGTTTGTATATTGCAGTTTCTTCCTTTCGAATGCATCGAAAGTTTAGGCGCAAATGGATGGTATATTGATGTTGAAGGTATCGATCCGACTTGTCCTAGGATGTGCAAGAAATGCATCAAACCGGATCTTTTTATACATATGCAAAGGTGTATAAACAGATTGGCGATACCTCAAAGATACATATTAATTTGGTGATTTCTTTTATAGTGTCACCAGTTGGATTGGTCTGACTAATTGAATTGGTCTGACAAATTGAATTGGTCTGACCAGTTTGTGATTAGTATGACCAATTTGTAATTGGTCATACCTGTCATAATGTAGTCACACGAGCCATCAGTTTTATTATATTACAATTACGAAACAGACTATGATTACAATAAATCTGGTCATACCAGTGAAGTATGACCACTTCACGGGTCTGACATTTAACCGGTCTGACCATTTCGCTCGTCTGACCACATCACGGGTCTGACCACTTCCCTGGTCTACCCACTTCACGAGTCTGACCATTTCACGGGTCTAACCAGACTTCACTGGTCTGCCCACTTTACGGGTCTGACCATTTCACGGGTCTGACCACTTCACTGGTCTGTCCACTTCACGGGTCTGACCATTTCAAGGGTCTGACCACTTCACTGGTTTCTCCCCTGCACGGGTCTGACCATTTCACTGGTCTGACCATTTCATTGGTCTACCCATTTCATGGGTCTGACTAATTCGAGTAATATAACCGTCTGACCAAAAAATTCGACTTTCATTAACTATCTTTCTGAAAATCTCTATTTTTCACCTAAAACCCTAATTTTTCTAACCCAAACGACTCGAACATTACTCTATTGGAGTTTAAACCCGAAACAAACACATAAACACAAAGACAAAGAGAGGACGAACGACGCAATCAATTTTTTCGGTGAGTGTACCATACCTGTAGATCTTCTGAAGTAGAAACCGAAGCAGTAACCGAAGGAGAAGCCAAAGATGAAGCCATTTGTGCCGACAGAAGACGATTTTGTAAGAAGAACCCGAGAGATTTGCGCGATTGAAGAAAGAAACCGGATGAGAGGAGAAGACGTTCGTCCGTTCGTGTTTGTTTGTTTGAAAATTTGGAAACACAGAGAGTTGTTGTCGTTTCCTGCTTTCCATTGAGTTGCCACGTATTCAATATTTTAAGGGCAAATTAGTCTTTTTATCATTTTAGATTTTTTTTTAAAAACCCTAAACCTAGAGGGTCATGCCGTGAAGTCCAAATCGACAAGTTGGGTTATTTTTGCAATTTTGCCCATTAAACACGGTTTTTCGAAAACCGAGAATTGCACACGTGGCACAAATTTTCCGAGCTGATTCGACAGGTCATGCGCCACGTCGAATAGGTCAACGCGTTTGTTTGACAAATTCATACTGAGGGTTCGTCCTCTCTTTGTCTTTGTGTTTATGTGTTTGTTTCGGGTTTAAACTCCAATAAAGTAATGTTCGAGTCGTTTGGGTTAGAAAAATTAGGGTTTTAGGTGAAAAATAGAGATTTTCAGAAAGATAGTTAATGAAAGTCGAATTTTTTGGTCAGACGGTTATATTACTCGAATTAGTCAGACCCATGAAATGGGTAGACCAATGAAATGGTCAGACCAGTGAAATGGTCAGACCCGTGCAGTGGAGAAACCAGTGAAGTGGTCAGACCCTTGAAATGGTCAGACCCGTGAAGTGGACAGACCAGTGAAGTGGTCAGACCCGTGAAATGGTCAGACCCGTAAAGTGGGCAGACCAGTGAAGTCTGGTTAGACCCGTGAAATGGTCAGACTCGTGAAGTGGGTAGACCAGTGAAGTGGTCAGACCCGTGATGTGGTCAGACGAGCGAAATGGTCAGACCGGTTAAATGTCAGACCCGTGAAGTGGTCATACTTCACTGGTATGACCAGATTTATTGTAATCATAGTCTGTTTCGTAATTGTAATATAATAAAACTGATCATGAGAGTTAATCTAATTGTTGCAGGTCCCTTTTGTGTACGCTTTCAAGGATATTCAACACCGTGCATTAAGGTTGGAAGGAGAGGAAAAAGAGTTTTGGTTTGTTGTAAATGGCGTGCCCATCAGATACTCGATCCAGGAACATGCCATTATCTCCGACTTAAATTTTAACAACTATTCGGAGGACTGGACTAAATGTAAGGGAAGTGAATTTCGGAAAAGAATATTCGTAACTTCAAAAGTTACCATAGAAGCTGCATTAAAGAAGTTGCGCGAAACTCCACATGCAAATGTGGAAGAAAGAAATAGATTAGCAATAATTGTATTGTTTTAAACAGTGATTTGGTGGACATGGTCGAAAGTCTGGACTTCTATGAAGGGTTTCCCTGGAGAAGATACATCTTCGTTAAGATTAGCGATCAGATTCGGAAATTGTATAATGAATTGGTTTGTATATTGCAGTTTCTTCCTTTCGAATGCATCGAAAGTTTAGGCGCAAATGGATGGTATATTGATGTTGAAGGTATCGATCCGACTTGTCCTAGGATGTGCAAGAAATGCATCAAACCGGATCTTTTTATACATATGCAAAGGTGTATAAACAGATTGGCGATACCTCAAAGATACATATTAATTTGGTGATTTCTTTTATAGTGTCACCAGTTGGATTGGTCTGACTAATTGAATTGGTCTGACAAATTGAATTGGTCTGACCAGTTTGTGATTAGTATGACCAATTTGTAATTGGTCATACCTGTCATAATGTAGTCACACGAGCCATTTTTTCAGGGATTTCGAAGTGTTCTTCAAATATATAGCAATGAAGGTGTTAGCATACCATGGTCAGATGGTCAGACCTATTCGAAATTGCGAGATTCATCGGTTTGAAAGTGTTAACATCGTAATAATCATCTCGTATGATCGATTTCTCTAGTTGAAATCGGTCGTAGCAATATGGACTGAACATCTTTTTTTTATGTCAAAATAACTCTTTCCAAAGAAGACTTAAACTACTAGTAGTGTTTGTGTAACACATTGGACACAATTGACTTATGTTGGTAGATTTGTTTTCTCCACACGAAATTAGAACTCCAAAACGATGAAAAAATATTCTTATATCCCTTATACAACTTTTCTAATCGTTTGAATTTAATTTAGGTCTTTTTTTCGTACCCGAATGGTCAGACGGTCAGACGGTCATATGGTCATACTATGGTCAGATGGTCAGACCTATTTGAAATTGCGAGATTCATCGATTTGAAAGTGTTAACATCGTAATAATCATCTCGTATGATCGATTTCTCTAGTTGAAATCGGTCGTAGCAATATGGATTGAGCATCTTTTTTTGATATCAAAGTAACTCTTTCCAAAGAAGGCCTAAACTATTAGTAGTTTTTGTGTAACACATTGGACACAATTGACTTATGTTGGTAGATTTGTTTTCTCCACACGAAATTAGAATTCCAACACGATGAAAAAGTATTCTTATAACCTTTATACAACTTTTCTAATCGTTTGAATTTAATTTAGGTCTTTTTTTCGTACCCGAATGGTCAGACGGTCAGACGGTCATATGGTCATACTATGGTCAGACGGTCAGACCTATTTGAAATTGCGAGATTCATCGATTTGAAAGTGTTAACATCGTAATAATTATCTCGTATGATCGATTTCTCTAGTTGAAATCGGTAGTAGCAATATGAACTGAACATCTTTTTTTGATGTCAAAGTAACTCTTTCCAAAGAAGACCTAAACTATTAGTAGTGTTTGTGTAACACATTGGACACAATTGACTTATGTTGGTAGATTTGTTTTCTCCACACGAAATTAGAACTCCAAAACGATGAAAAAGTATTCTTATAACCCTTATACAACTTTTCTAATCGTTTGAATTTAATTTAGGTCTTTTTTTTCGTACCCGAATGGTCAGACGATCAGACGGTCATATGGTCATACCATGGTCAGACGGTCAGACCTATTCGAAATTGCGAGATTCATCGGTTTGAAAGAGTACATTAAACCCACATAATCATATGATAATATGGTCAAAGTAGAGATATCAAATACAAATACGGAAATACGAATTTAAAAGTACATTACACCTACATAATCAAACTCGTTTACCAAAATCGTCGAGACGGTCATATTCTGGTCAAACCAGTCATACCAAATACAAATCGAAATACATTCCACCCGCATGATCTTATGACAATGATATGTTGGCTGAACCTATCGAACATGTATTCTTCTTTCCTTCCCATTCATATGCTCCGATCGATTTTACTACCCACTTGCCATCAGATTTATAATAAATAATCATCATCCTCTCATTAGTTGCATCCATTATATCTGTATAAAATAAACACAAAATGTGATAAAATGATACACTTGAAAAATGTCACAGGTTTGATGAGTATGACCATTTTGACCAATTTCACGAATATGACCAGTTTGACCAATTTTGACAAGTATGACCAGTTAGGAGTATGACCAGTCTCACCATTTCGACATGTATATGTTACCAGTTTTCTGAATTCTCCCATTTTAACGAATTTCACAAATATAATGATTTCAACCAGTTTGAATAACGTGAATCATGGTATTGCTGATATATATGTCATTTTTGCTTCAAACATATTCATATGGATTAAATATAAAAATGATAAAATAATAAATCACAAATGTCCAAACTTAATAACAAAATTTAGAAACAATACTTACCTTTTATTCAGATTTATGTTGAATCGATTAAATGCCCAAGTTTAATGTTGTTTTTTCGCAACAAATTAGCTAAAAAAAGAGTAGAGATGAAGAGAGTGTGAAGACTACTGAACGAGAGAGAAGAGAAAGCGGACGAGGAGAGAGAGAGGAGGAAGAGGAGAGAGAGTTGAAATTTATTTTTTAAAATTTAATAATAAATAAAAATGAAGGGTATTTTTGGAAGTATATTATTACAAGGTTATCACATGATGTTGTCTTTTTTTTTTTTCCAAAGTGAGGGTTATCACGTAAAGTAAAAATGACATTTAAAGTCATTTTTGTAAATCCCCGCGTAAAGCCTTGTGTCATTTATTGAACAAATATTCGATTTTGTTGTTTTAAATGTGGATAATAAAATGTTATTATTTTCAAGATGTTACTTTAATGCACATATATAATTACACTGATAATTTGTTATACTATGAAATTTCTGAAAAGGGAAAATAGAGACACCTAGTTCTACATTTATATTTTTGTAAATAAGGATAATGTTTTTTTTTTTGGTTCAAATGGATCGTTTAGATTCACGTTGTCTATTTATACCGTTTCGGGTCCCAACCTCTCATGATAAAACGCACCGTTTCGTGCATTTAAACGCACCGTTTTGTGGGCGTGGAATATTCGGTTTCTTTCAGCAGCCAATTTCAAAATCTCAAATTCGTCGTCCCGCTCGGAACAAAAAAAGCCGACAAATTTCGAAACTTTCCTCTTACTCTGCTTTGCCCGTTTCTTGTTCATCCACCCACTCATACGTTTTCTTCGAAACCATCGAAAAATTTCTGCAATCTTGGGAGATTGTAATCTAACTCAAGTTATTTTCCCCCTAAAAGTTTTCCGATGTCTGCTCCGTCGACTAGCCGGCTCAAAGATGCGAACGCCGGCTCCGGAGTAAAACCTTTGTCGGGCCAAAAACCCTCGAAGCCTCTGACCCCGGTTTCGATTTCAAGAAATAATCATGGCCCAGTGCTCCAGAAATCGTCTTCGGGGAAGGAGATTCCACGGCTGAGTCACCGGGCTTTTGGGTCGACCCAGAAGCCGGTGCTCCGACCTGTTCCGCGCGTGGAAAAATCTACCGGCGGAGACAGCGGTGGAGAGGGTCGGATGAGGTGGTCAACGTCGTCCGGTCCGAGAGGTAAGAGTCCTAGTCCTTCTGACTTAATCAGGGTTTTCTCCGATTTGAAAAGGGAAAAGGGATCTAGGGTGTCCGGGGAAAAAGGTGAATCGAGTTCAGATAAGAAAGCTGGGTACAGAAATTCAGGTGTCAAATGGGTTGAGAGTGAGAAAAAGGTCCGTGATTCATCGTGTAAGTCGAATAGGGTTTGTGAAGAAACAGAAGAGGAAAGTAAAATTAAGACGGGTTTAAGCTCTGATTATCTGAAAGCAAGCAACTTGGATGGTACTGGCACAAGCAGTTCGAGTTCTGATCCAAAGACAATTGCTTTTCCTGGGTGTGGAGACAAATCTGCAGTTGCTTTGAAATCTGTTGTTAAAACTGAAAACATTGGGAGATGTAGTAATTCAGTTTCAAGGAGAAAATCTTTGGATAATGGTGGGAAAGTAGTGGAGATCTTGAAAGAGAAGAGAGTGAGTGAAGGAAGCAGTGGATTTACAAACAAATACCAAAGTAAACTGCACGAGAAGCTTGCTTTTCTCGAAGGTAAGGTTAAGAAAATCTCGTCCGATATCAAGAAGACAAAGGACATGTTGGACTTGAGTAATCCGGATGCATCGAAGATGATACTCTCCGATATACAGGAGAAAATCTCAGGGATTGAAAAGGCTATGGGTCATGTTGTCAGTGATGCTGATGGCAAGAATAATCTGCCTGGCCAGAGTTCAAACGAAAATTATCAAGCGGCAAATGTGAAACCTTCGGTTAAAGGATTGAACAGTGAAGAGCTAGAAGACAGGCTTTTTCCTCACCAGAGGTTGCTGAAGAGCAGAACACGATCAAAGACATCATCAGAAGACACAAAAATCCATGTCATGTCAGCTTCAGTTGCATCCAGTGAGGAAGCAAAGGTTGAAGTTATGCCCTTGGATCCTACCGAGGAGAATGAGATAGCTACAGAGTTCTTGGCTTCACTTGACAGGGAGAGAAGTGAAGTCAAAATTAGGAATGATGAGACTGATTCGAAGAATCTTGAAGTGCAAGAGATGGATGCAGAGGAAATGCCCGAGAAACAAGATTCTTCAGAACAGATCAATGTCAGTTCCAGCTTAAATGAAATTCTTAGAGCAGATGAAATCCTTGAAGAATTTGATGATGGTGGGAATAGAGAAGAGATGGAGTATGAGGAGATTGAGGATGCAGGCATGTACAAGCTAAATGAAATCGGGACAAAAAATTCTACTGGAGGATGGTTTGTATCAGAAGGAGAAGCAGCTCTTCTCACTCACGATGATGGTTCATGTTCCTATTACGACATTACTAACTGCGAGGTACTATGATTTCATGTACATTCATCTAGATGTCTCAGTTTATGGAATATATATTTTACATAACTCAAGTTGAACTTGAACCATGCCGAAGATTTGATATATAGTGCTTTCCTTGTTAGAATGCTGCCCAACTTAACAAATATTTGACTTACATCGATTACCCATTCCAAATTTCGTGAAAACTCAGCAAGAAAATAAGTATTTGCTTGATATAATCTATGAAAAACTCTTGAATGATATGAACTACAATCTCTCTTAATCTGCTGCTTGGCATATGCATAGATTGTTGTAACTTTTCAGTTCATGGTGTGAAATTCCTTTTTCAGGTGAAATCGGTGTACAATCCTCCGAATGGATTCTTACCAAACACTTGGAGGGACTGTTGGATAGTTCGAGCAACAGGTGCAGATGGCTGCTCGGGTAGATATGTTGTGTCTGCTTCTGCTGGAAATACACTAGAATCTGGATTTTGTTCGTGGGATTTCTACACAAAAGAGATCAAAGCTTTCCACTTCGAGGATGGATCAAAAAGATCTAATTCAAGAACGGTCCTTGCTCCTTTGTCCAGTAACACTTCTTATGGTAAAAACACTCTGGCTTGTTCGTTGGAGCCAGAAACTCGACAATGGTGGTATAAACCTTGTGGACCTCTTATAATCTCAACTGCCAGTTCTCAAAGGCTGGTTAAGGTTTTCGACATAAGGGATGGAGAACAAATTATGAGATGGGAGTTGCAGAAGCCTGTGTCAGCTATCGATTACTCGAGCCCTTTACAATGGAGGAACAGAGGAAAAGTTGCCATAGCAGAGGCTGAAGCTATTTCTGTGTGGGATGTAAATTCCCAATACCCTGAAGCACAGTTAACTATTTCGTCTTCAGGACGTAAAATCTCGGCTTTTCATATCAATAACACAGACGCTGAACTGGGCGGAGGGGTGCGTCAAAGGTAAGACTTTTCAATGTTTTCATACAACCGAGTGTTTCTATTGGATAAGAACATGTTACACCACTTGTTGAGACATTGGTGACCTATATTTATATTGTCTGATAAACGATGGAAACATGTGGTATTGCAGGGTAAGTTCCTCGGAAGCTGAAGGGAATGACGGAGTATTCTGCACTAATGATTCAATCAACATCTTGGATTTCCGTCATCCACATGGCATTGGTGCCAAAATCCTCAAACTCGGTATCAACCCTCAATGTGTATCTTCCCGTGGTGATTCAATATTTCTCGGCTGTTCCAATTCTCAGGTGAAGCAATTCTCATTGCGCAAACAACGTCTTGTGAGCACATACTCATTGCCGGAATCAAAATCACACTCACACCACTCTGATATAACCCAAGTATGGGGAAACTCAAACCTTGTCATGGCTATCTCCGGCATTGGACTTTCCATATTTGATGCCACAAAGGATGAGACAATGCAGCAGCCATTGACGGGTGATCACGGGAATCATGAAAACGTTAAAGAAACTATCGGTCCAGACGACATGTATTCCCCTTCGTTTGATTACTCAGGCGGCCGGGTCCTCCTCATCTCAAGGGACCGACCTGCTTTGTGGAGACACCTCCTGTAGAAAAGAAAGAGGCTTTTGCTTCAATGGTCTTACCGGGTTTGCGGTATAAGAAGCAGTACATGTATCTGAAGGATTTTACACTTCTGAGTTCTGGTTTCGAGTCAAGAGGATCAATCTATGGTATAAGCTTAACTTTTCTTAGTTGATGTTGGTTTATCTTGAACTGTCCAGCACAGCTTGTGCTGCTGTTGTTGTGGTCTGTCTATCTGTTTGCTCTGTCTGTTTTAAGACATTACTGATTTGCTAAAAAAAACTTGTTTTTTTTTGTCATTTTTTCATGGCTCTGAAATGTTCCTTGAAGATGGTTTTGATGACATGACAAAATCTCTCAGGTCTCTGTTGAGAAATTCATCATTGTTCTCAATACAGGGAAGGCAACAGCCCATCATGGTTTGGCTGAAATTGGGAATAGACCGGCCTCTAAACCAGAAATCAAAACCGGTTACTAGTTGTCATTTGTTCTTAAATTTTCGTTGTGTTGACTTCGCTTGATTTTAGAGTTAGGCCAAACTTAACTCTGTATCTTTAATATGTAAATGTGAAATGTCTTTTAAACATTTTATAATTTCAACATACCTTTTCCCATTTTCTAGAACCATCACCATCCGGATGCCTATATATAATTTTTTAGTAGAAACTTATTTTGGGTAGATTAGTGGAAAATTTTTAATATTTTTTTTTGGATCAGTTATTTAATATCATATATATTATATGATAATGGTATAATACATGCTTCTAACTAATTGATTATAAATATTTTCCATCCTGTGTAAGCGTACCCATAACCCAAGGGCAAAGGTAAGATCCCAAAATTCTAACCAAACCACTAGAACTCAATATAATTAATTAAAAAAATGATATAATTAGGTTCATGAAAACGCAAAATTTTTGTAAATTCAGACAACTCTTTTGGAGATTGCTTGTACTTCATCTTCACTTGCCTGAACCACGAGACTAAGTTTGTTGGGAAATTACTGCCAGCTTTTGTCCACGTAGCTTAACATTGCTGACGTGGAGGACACCTACTGGTGCCTGATCCCACACAAAATTTGGCTGTTAAACTGAAAGAAAATAAAAATAATATACAAAAGCTTCATTTTTTTTCTGTAGTTAGTAAAATTATTACGAAATATTAAAAAAAATTAAATTTAGAATAATTATGCATATCTAATATATATTCATATTATTTTAGAATTTAATATTAAAAAAAAGTAAGATCGTTTTTGTATACCTATGTTATTAAATAAATTTTAAATATATACACAAGTTTTAATTATTTTTAAATATTTTTAATCTTACTAAGCATATATATATATATATGAAAAATACGCTATAATATTCTGTAGGCTGAATATAGAAATATAGATGTACTAAATCTTCATCGCAATTAAACATAGAATCATTTTTTTAGAACAAATTAAAACCGAAGACGGAAACTCAAATCTTATCTGTGAGCTAATAGGTGTAGCGAATAAATGTGTTAGTTAGAAGATTAAAAAATAATCTAAAGTTGTGGTTTAGTTAACGGACACGTAGTTTCAATTTTTTTTTCTATGGGACTAAATTAATTTGATGTATTATTCGTATATCTCATATCTTCGCCAATATTAGAAAAAGTATTCATATATTTCACATGATATATATGTTGCCATCCGTCAATAAGTCAAAAGAAAAAAAATCACAATAAAGCTCATATTTTAAATAATTTTATTTTAAAAGTTTCTTACTTTTCCCCTATTTTATCAATTGCCTATATTCGCATTACTCAAACCAAATTTTAAATTTCACAAATTTTCAATAAATAAATTTCAATTATATGACCATGATTTGTCATGAAAAATATCGTTTTCAAATCATAATCTACATTCAATACAATTTTTTTTTATCAAATTCCGTGCATTTCTTTTTTTTTTCTTTCTCCAAATTGGCTTGCCGAAAAAGATGAACCACATCACAAAAACAAATATCAGTTTAATTTCTAGTCTAACCGAAAGGAGTTGGATATTAAATTGAGACTTTTCCATCATCTAAAAAATATGTCTTTGGATGTGTGGCCGACATTGAAAATTAAAAATTGATGTCTTTTTCTGCAAATAATGAAACTTAGGCCCTCTAAACGAATTATATACAATATTTGGGGGTTTGCAATTTCTTCTTATTTGTATATTCCACAAAGCTATCTTTATACACACACACACACACACATATATATATATATATATATATGGATAGATAATGCATTGCAAAATGCACCCATTGCACGTTGACCTTTCCATTCACAGAACACAGTTCTAATATTGGCGATATGAGTGAGAAGAGAGCCGCCGGGAAATTCGGCCGCCGGGGCTTCACGGCGGGGGGGGGGGGA